ATCAAAATGGTTTTATTGATTAGGAATCTATGGCACCCCAGTGATGAGACATCACATCTATATACGCCCGGTGTTGTATCTGGGAATATGATGTATTCTACCATCACTTCAGTAAATACTGGATTGTGATTGGTTAATTAGGTCACTCAGAGGTATATAATCAGGTTATATACCTCTGATTTTCCAACACAGTATGTATTTTTTTTTAAATTCTTAAGAAAGCGGTTATGGTAGACTGATGATAAACATACCGTGTTGGAAAATCAGAGGTATATAACGAAAATTAATAGCTCTTAATTAGTATTAGTATTCACGATTAGTAAGCAGTATGTTTATCTCCTAATGCAGAGGTGTCATACTTTTATTTAAAGTAAATAAGAGTTAGATCGAGTGAAATATAACATTAGATATTGACTTAAATATCCTGGTGGGGGCGGTGGGGTAGCCTAGTGGTTCAAGCGTTCGCTCGTCACGCCAAAGACCCGGGTTCGATTCCCCACATGGGTACAATGTGTGAAGCCCATTTCTGGTGTCCCCCGCCGTGATATTGCTGGAATATTGCTAAAAAGCGGCGTAAAACCATACTAACTCACTCACTCACTAAATATCCTGGTAATCTGCCTCTTTAAAATCATGTTGTTAAGTGGAATGGTAGATTACCTGTATACCCTACTCGGACACCTTATACTGATTACGGGGACTGTGGGGTAGCCTAGTGGTTAAAGCGTCCGCTCGTCATGCCGAAGACCCGGGTTCGATTCCCCACATGGGTACAATGTGTGAAGCCCATTTCTGGTGTCCCCCGCCGTGATGTTGCTGAAATATTGCTAAAAGCGGCGTAAAACCAAAACTCAGTCAGTCAGTCAGTCCTAAGTCAGAGGTGTCATACTTTTATTTAAAGTACTAGTAAATGAGTTAGATCGTGTGAAATAGAACATTTGATATTGACTTAAATATCCTGGTAATCTGCCTCTTTAAAATCATGATGTTAAGTGGAATGGTAGTTTACATGTATACCCTACTCGGACACCTTATACTGATTACGGGGACGGTGGGGTAGCCTAGTGGTTAAAGTGTCCGCTCGTCATGCCGAAGACCCGGGTTCGACTGTCATCACAAGACAGTATAATAGCAATGCATCACAAAATGGTTTAAAAGTAGTCGTAGAAAAATATAATATTTGATTATTATATCACGATACGAAAGTAATATTTGCGCTATAGACCACCAGCAAAAAGGATAAGGTTAGCATGCCAGGGGCCATGGGGCCTTACGGTACCTCTCATGATTCCCTAGCAGGGTTTGTACGTACTGGTGATTGTTTAGAAAGAGATTAAAATTAATAAAATAGTCTGCAGTTAAAACAGAAGTAGACAGGATATACTTTTAGGGGGATACTTGTCAAGGACATGAGGGGACACACACTGAGTCTGTCACATGGCATAATTTTTGTTTTTGAATTGTGGACTAATTTTAATTACTAGTGTCTGACGGACACTTTTTCTCTGGTGTATAAAGTCATTGTACGGCCGCTTCTTCCAATTACTGGTACGAACACACATTATCAAGAGAGTATGCGAAATCAACAATGACTACTGAACCCTGACGTTGACATTTCATATTATGTACGTCAAGGCGAAGTATAAATCCAGGAGAATACAATGTCAACACTTGTTCAGCCACCAACTGCCCTCTACACGTTATATGTTTCAAATTTACTTCAAGACATCCTACTCGTGAAGATACCGGTTAGAATTGGTCTTCAGTAACTCATGCTTGTCGTAGAGGCGACTAACGGGATCGGGTGGTCAGGCTCGCTGTCTTCGTTGACACATGTCACAAAATATGTCTGTAAATAATCAAATCTAGACCAGGCAATCCAATGATCAACAGCATGATCATCGATCTACGCAACTGGGATACATGTGTCAACCAAACCAGCGAGCCTGACCACCCAATCCCGTTAGTCGCCTCTTACGACAAGCACGGGTTGCTGAAGACACATTCTACCCAAGATCATAACCAAAGATCTCGATCCCTTTATACTCAATGATTTACATGACGTTGAATCGGCAAAACTCAGAGGAGTTTTTTTGCAGTCTCAGAAAACTACATTTCTGTCAAAACATGACATGGTGGAACGTGACCTGGAAGCGTGGACACTATGAACACCCCACACAATAGATAATCATCAGATGTGTGCTAATTATACATGTGTCATCTGTGTTGGCGGGTTTATCATAGATCCTACACCCACCTGTACTCAATCACAAACAATCTGCGGGCACGGCGACCTTACAATGTAGCCTGTGGTGTGTACTTTCGTAGAGTGAGTGAGTTTAGTTTTAGGCCAGCTATATCGCGGGGGTCTGTAAATAATCAAGTCTGGACCAGACAATCCAGTGGTTGACATCATGAGCATCGATCTACGCACCTGGGATACGATGACATGTGTCAACCAAGTCCACGAGCCTGACCACCCGATCCCGTTAGTCGCCTCTTACGTACATTCGTAGAACGTATTAACGTTTTTTTACTGTTACGAATTTTTCTTACAATGAACGTATACCCCTCAATATAAGTGCCGACCTGAGCAGACCAGAGTTACCGCCCTTTGACTGTGCCACTTGATTTTGTCTGGTCTCCTGTCCAGTCCCAAAGCAAAAGCTATTAATTAATACTGACTATAATCACGTGAAAAAAAAGCATGTAAAAATACGGAAAAAGTATTAGAACTGAAACTGTAAGCAGTATGATAGAAATGACTGTGTATATTTTCTTTCATAACCTCATTTCAATGAAAATACCAAATATGTTGACGTATGTATGACATCACTATCGAGAAGCGACTTTCTAAAATGGCGAATAAGCGGGATGTTTGTAGGGAAACTTTCCTTGTTTCAAGCAACGTATATGCATAAATGTGACATGTAAGTAGTCCGAAACATTCTGGTAATCTGCCGGTTGTTATTTTCTTTTTGTTTTCATTGTGGCCAAGGGAAATAGTCAGAAACGAGGAGAAGTACCGTCATCGTTGTGCGTGAGTTTGCGTTAGTCATGAGTCACGCTTTCAGAAATTATAATATATTGTGTTGAATATAGGACATATTTGGAATACACCTATTTTTATTTAACTATCTCTTGCTACGATACTCCCATGCATGTTCTAAAACTTTTGAGCGATGGGTATGCAACGAGTAGGCGAATGGATCTCTCACAGTATGAGAAAATGATACACAGTGTAAAATCTGAGATTGGCTTTGTTTACATTTCAAACAACTGTTCCTTTCCCAGCACGGCATCGGATATATATTTAGATTTCACTGAGATACTTGGTATTGGTGACAAAGACCATTTGTAATTTTATTTTGAACGGTATGAGGAATTTAGAGATTCTTGTAAGGAAGATGGTTTTGCATTATATTTGTGATGTAACCTACGTACATGTGACGTGATTTTATAAACACTCTGTAATATGGCTGAAAGTTCACTTTGACGCTCGCGTCAGTGTGTTTTCCAAAACATTCACAGCTATTCACGGTTCATCGAAGATGTTTCAGAACGAGCATTGGTGAGTCGATCAAACCACAACAACAGAAATACCGGTGATCACAATGATCAAAATTCAATTCTCCCAGTAAAATCCGACATTTAAATTAGGACAATCATAATGTGACATTTGCAAAACTTACGCAGAACGCAATGAATGGTGATTTAGTCAAGTCAAAACATTGATTACACAGCAGTCTCGTTTCCTGCAGACTGGGTTCCGTCCTAGTGCGCAATTTAGTACAATAAACAGTCCAGAATTTTGAGACCAACTCATTCAACAGGATATATAAATATTAATCAGTATTATTTGATACATCTAATCACTTGTATATTGCAACACTACGCTCCTTCTAATCCATACCAGCGAGCTCTGTCGTACAGCGTGCTCTGACAAACGGAAATGTGAAAATGGTGGACATCTCAAAACGAAGCTTTGCCGCTAGAAAGGTTTGGCGGTCTGGTACGGACTTGATCTTTTATCAATCACATTGTACGTTACAAAAATACATATAGTAAGCGCAAAAAACACATAACATGTGTAACCAGTGAGCCATCAAAGTCTCAGACCTTGATGGTAGATAACATCAAGAAGTTTAAGGTTGCTTTGCAGGCTCCACCATAAATGATGGAGCCATAATCGAGTTTTGAACGGAGCAGTGCTCTGTACTGTTGGAGGAAGGTCTTCTTATCCCCTCCCAACTTCGAGGTGGAAACAACTTTCAGTAAATCAAGTGCTTTCAGGCATTTAATTTTTCAAATATTTTATATGGGCGAAAGGTCAAGTGTTGATCGGAAATCGTACCCAAGAACCTGGCCTCTTTTACAATTTTAATAGGTGTAAAATTAATTCCGGGTCCTTGTGAGGTTTATATTTTCCACAAAAGTGGATACAATTTGTTTTTGAGTTTGAACATTTGATTCCTTTTTCTAAACACCATTTATTAATTTTATTTAAACACAATTGCAATTCCCTTTCAACGGTATGCATGTTGTTGCCACGACACGAAATATTTAAATCATCAACAAATAACGATCTATCAACTGAATCGTTTAAAACCTTTGATAAACTACATAGATGCAAAACGAGTTTCACTAGTTGTATACAAACAGGGAATAAAACCCGGGTGATCAGCATAACAAACAGACCGATATGTATCTAGTGTACCTTCCCCACCAGTTAAAACTAATGAAGAACCTGTTCTGGTAGAGTGAGTGAGTGAGTATGGTTTTACGCCGCTTTTAGCAATATTCCAGCAATATCACGGCGGGGTACACTAGAAATGGGCTTCACACATTGTACCCATGTGGGGAATCGAACCCGGGTCTTCGGCGTGACGAGCCAACGCTTTAACCACTAGGCTACCCCACCGCCCCTGTTCTGGTAGAGAGTCAGTGTGTACAGCGACGTTGCGTGGCTGGAAATTACTGGCTGAGTTTACACGAGCTTTGGCGGTCTTATCACACTCACTATCACCCACCTGGTATAAACAGCCAACACCGACCCGACACCGTCAGTCATACGTTAACTCCAAGGTTTGACATGCTCTCCTATAACGTCCTTGAAGGTAAGTTCGTAATGCAGCTGAAAATAATGGTAGTAAGTTCAAAGAATAAAGACATGCGGTTCTATACCTACCTCTCAAAATATCCCTTACTTTATAATCTAAGTGTAATAATGAAATATAACGTCTACATTGAGGGTTTATATATTAAAGATTGAAGTCAGATTCGACATTCCACACAAATGTAGGTTACATTTTGCAGTTTTCTTGCAGTTTTCGTGGTTGGGATATTTCTGGCTGACCTATCCGTGTCAGGTAAGAGAGATAAGGTGATGAATATCAGGGCCACATAATCCATGAAGCATTTTCATTGTTTCCAGTGCTGTTATTACATTGCTGTAATGAACAAAATAGTCCCTCTCTGTCCTTGGGGTTACGGGGAACGGTGGGGGAGCCTAGTGGTTAAAGCGTTCGCCCGTCATGCCGAATTCATGTTCGATCCCCCACATGGGTACAATGTGTGAAGCCCATTTCTGGTGTCTTCCGCCGTGATATTGCTGGGATATTGCTAAAGGCGGCGTAAAACTACACTCACTCAGTATTGGGGTCACGGGAATTGATTGCTTTTACAATTTTGTAATTATTAGATTAGTGGTTTCTGACTCGTCAGAGAGATCTACCCCAACCGGAGGTATAACAAGCCACAACCTATATTTTTATTATGTTATATACCTATCCTTTTGGAAAATTAAGGTTGTGGTCGGGTGATATATGTATGGCACGTGGTAAGCAACATTTGAAAATTTACACTAACACACATTTTCACGAAGATTTCTAAAATATTTCACATATTTTAACAAAACTGATTGAAAATTAAAGGACATGGTTTGGCCATTCATTTAGCATAGATATGTATTTTGAAAGCTGTTGTAATAGTTGTATTTCATTCACCAAAAATGAAATTTTAACCAAACTTATAAATTCATGTGTTTTCAATACTCACCAAAAGAAGAATGACCAAAAACAAGAGTACATCTGTGTCCATTGGATTGTTGAAACCTTTAGCTTTACAATAGTATCAATAAAACAGAACAGTTGTAATAAACTTGTTACGTTATGCGATTTTAATTGAGATATATTACAGACAAAAATGAATATTTTATGGACACTTCTGTTTATGGTAAGTAGCCACTACATCTTTTGCCTGATTATCCAACCCCGTATACATTTTAGGCAAGTTATACTATGACCTGTCAAGAGAGGACAACAACATGTATCTTTTGTATGACCACAGTATTAGGATCATCACAAAAGAACCTAATAATTAAAAGGGGTAGTCATGCATCAAGCACCTGAACGGTTTTCTTGATAAACTGAGCACCAATTATATGTACGTCTATGTTAATATCACATCACTTTCGCCACGATATCTAATAGTTTCTACAAAATATATTACTGCAAATTTATCAATTTGTTCACATATCCGCAGAAAGACTGCATAACATTTGAGCTACATTGTGGGTAAGATTCAGACAATCATATATGCCAACAACCGTCATGTTTAAAACTTCATGATCTGTGTAGTATGATCTGTGTTAGTCAAATTCACCATCTCCATCACTGTCAGAGAATGTGGAAGAAATAGTGTTCTGACAATCCTGTCCTCCACATTTACAAAATTCTGTGCATTTGAGGCCCGGATGGAGATATTGGCACTTCTTCCCAACACTACAGTCGTCCGTGCAATACAAGTGTGTGAGATTTCTCAGTTCAGTTGGAGTTATCTCCTTTGAGAGCATCACAGGTTGTCACATGTCATTGTATCCCAATTACATAGATCGATGCTCGTGCTGATGATCACTGGATTGTCTGGTCCAGTCTCGATTATTTGCAGACCGCCGCCATATAGCTTGAATACTGCTGAGTGCAGCGTTAAACAGAAATCAGGCAACCATATCAAGATGGCCATAGTGTAAGATCGTCAGACAATCGGACACACAAACGCGCATATATACACATACACGCGCGCGCACACATCCTTTATACGCACATCATTATTGGTACCATGGTTTGAAGTTTCTCTCCAGCTCCAGCTCCAGATTCATCTCCAGCTCCAACTTCAACTCCAACAACCGACTGTGTTGACCACTTCCCAACCTGCCAGAACTTCAAGGGATGGGGGTGTGGCGGCCAGTACGAGGAATGGGCAATCTATAACTGTGCCAAAACATGTGGATATTGTGACAAGAAAAGTAAGAACATTTTTGTATAAGCTTTTATAAGAAACCAAACATGAGTTTTGTTGCACATTATCGAGGAGAAAGAAGGTTTTCCTCTTACCAATGTGACTCTTTCTTTTGTTCCTAGGGTTCACACATAGTACACACCAACCCCTCAGTGTGACGCAACCTGTGCCTAGTCAACGCTGCAGTGACAATATCCCCAACTGTAAGGAATACGGCCAGTCAGTGTGTACCGCATACAAAACCTGGGCTCAGGATAACTGTGCTTCCTATTGCAACCTATGTGGTGAGTATACAGAAATGTCCACCCTGTGTCTGTGTGCGTAGGTGCGTGCGCGCGCGTATCTGTTTTTATGAGTAACCGTCGTGCGTTGCTGTAGCGTATCCACCCACCTTTAACAGTGTGGCAGGAAGAAGATCGAGTGTATAGTTTTTGCTTCCATTTCGGTCTGCAGATAGATCTCGTGGAGATGGTTAGAATTAAACAAATCAAAAAACTTTTAAAACATCAGGGCCGGTGGGGTAGCCTAGTGGTTAAAGCGTTCGCTCGTCGCGCCGAAGACCCGGGTTCGATTCCCCACATGGGTACAATGTGTGAAGTCCATATCTGGTGTCCCCTGCCGTGATGTTGCTGGAATATGGCTATAAGCGGCGTAAAACCATACTCACTTACTCTAAAACATCATCCTTGTTCAACAAATGTAGCAAGGCCCGATTTACTCATCTAAAACAATATGTTGAAAAAAGTGATACTTCTGTTAGTTTAGTATATTTCTTACCATATTTGAGTATTTCAAGTTATTCTGATGCCGTTTTACAAAGAAAAGTTGTACATTTATAACTCAAACATAACGAAATATGCGGAGAAAAGAGCTAATTTAAAACAGAAATGTACATTAACAATGTAATTGAGATTCTGAATGCAAGTGAGTGAGTGTGGACATGGAACTGAACAACTCCAATAAATAAATATCGTTAGCAAACTTGACGACACTATGGTGGCTGATTCGGGCCATTGCTTTATCGCCCTGAAAAATCTAGGCGATATCGCGACAAAACGATAATATGACACGATATTGCAATATGGCCACACGATATAGCGATACAGTCAAAATCGAAATAGCGATAACACGACACGATATGGAGATAGCAAGACACGATATGGCAAAAACGCGACACGACATTGCGATAACACAACACGAAATTGCGATAACAGGATACGAAATTGCGATAACACGACACGAAACGGCGATAATGCGATATAGCGATACGGCGATAATGCGATATAAACAGGCGACATAACGACTTGAAGATATTGCGATAATGCGAAATGGTTACGCGACAGAGCGATACTGCGATATATTCATCTTTATGTGAGTTTGTGTGTATGTGCGTATGCGTATGTGATGCGTCCACGCTGTAAAAAAATGTCAATTTGACAACTAAAAAGTTGTAGTCGGACGGTGCTTGGGGTGAATGTATAAGTTGTCAATTTGACAACCGACAATTTATTGACAACCCATTAAGTTGTCATTCGGGTGTGTGTTTTGTCAAATAGTTGTCATTGCATTGTCAAATAGTTATCAGGTATGGTCAAATTTGATTGTCAGCCTAACAAGCAAGGGCTGTAAGGAAAATGTTAAAGGTCACATGCAACGTAAAACCAGGGAGACTATATAACGTGTTGTAGATTATCCCTGGTAAAACACAACTTTGCAGATTCTGATACCTTTCGGTATGGACTTACAGACACAAATCATCAAAAATGCAAATTCAACTTATAAAGTTGAAAAAAACGCGATGAACACACACACACACACACACACACACACACACACACACACACACACACACACACACACACACACACACACACCGCGAAATCGGAGTTCAAACGATTCACTAAATTCACCCCAGCTTGGGGTGAAAAGTGGTTGCAACAGCTGGGCTGCGCTCATAGCGCGTGCGCAGTGATAAGGTTCGCGCAGCTTGGAAGTGGGATGTCCGGATTATAAGGTCGTGAGCAGGAGCAGTCTAATCAAAACAAATAGTAAATAATCTACTCGTTACATAAAAGAACCTTGTTAGGATCTAGATCTACTCAGCTATGTGTCAACCAGTGAGGCGTTCGACATTTCAAGACGGAAAACCTTCGCTGGCGGTGAGTACTCGGTGAATGCTTTGATGTGAGCTATTTTTCTAATGTTTTGTTGATATTTCACAGGCGCCAAACAAATTCATCAGATGGAAATTGAGGTAGCAGAGAACACTGTTTGATTGGAATCATACCAATACAACTATAGAATTGCCTAAATTTAGTTTCTCATAGTTTCAAAATTCAGATGCAATAGGTTGAATAGTCCTTGAAAAGTGAAACTGGCACAAGTGATCATTGTTCTAACACTTATTTCCCTGCATTTAGCTTGGAAATTAATGTGCTTACAGTCTTTTCGGCAGCTTTGAGTTTGAGTTTTTTTTGTCCCGTTGGTTTGTTGCACACTTTGAGCACCATTTGGACTAAAATCATGTGGGTTCTGAGCAATGCTTGTTGGTACTGTAGATTGTAGCAGTAGAAACCCGCCATGAACACATACAGGGCTTCCAACAGATGTCTGGTTTTAAACACTTCCCTCCCCTCAGAAAGGACCATGAACTTGAAGTCGGAAAGACCATCTTCCATTCCCTCATACTTGATGTATGAGGGGACAGTCTTCTCAACCTATAACAACACTATCAGTTTCATCAGAAACATTCTGAACATATAGATATTAGAAAGCGTATACCGTATACAGTAAATGGATTGTATATAGCTTTTCTAAATTTTCATTCAAGTCCCTTATGTCCTTGAATGTAATTGTAATGGACATATATGAATAGAGATGAACATACAGTGTATGAACATTTTACTACATGTTATTCATGACAACATGATGATATCATATGAATAAATTATATACATACATATGTCAATGTGGTTGTGTTTCCTTTCTCAATTGAAATACTTAACTGGGTTCTTCCATTTCTCTATCAAAGGTAACATATTTCTCGATTGCTGTGCATTAGACCGTAAATGTTGTTGTTTTAAGCTGTCTGAAGAATGACTGTCTGAAGAATGGGAGCTAACTTTATAGCAGCTGTCACTTGTATTAAAGTGAGATACATTGATATGGTATTATTTGAATTCTTTTGGAGGATTTCAGGAAATGCTCAATTAGTGATATTAGTGAAATGATTTTAACTAGTCCAAGGTTATTTATGCAAAAGTAATTATTATTCCGAGCACAAACATCTAGGACTCTGGTTTCAAAAAGACACAAATTGGACTGCACAGATAAATTCTGTACTTGTTAATACTTCATTTGGGTTTGGTATCAACATTGGAAACAGGTTCTGTCAAATAATGCAGTGATTTAAATGCCTATAAAGTAAGTAGATTTATATCCGATAACCCATCATGTACTTGCTGTGCTGCGTTTGAGGACACCCTTCATTATCTTTTTATATGTGCGAACTATGATGCTATAATGATTTAATTTATTTTAAACATGAATATAACATACATGACGCGCTGTATGGTAATCTAGAATTACCCAGATCTATAAATCATGATATTATCAGATCAGTACATAACTGTATTATCACTTCAAGAAGATTTAATCAATCTTAAGTTTTCATCTGGCCCTTTGCAGAACTAAAAGTATTATTGCTGTATGGATGTTTATATTTATGTATATTGTATGCTTAATGCTATTTATGATATCATGTACTTTTGTAATAATGTTATGAAATGCAAGTCGCGTAAATGTTATTTTGTCTGGAGAGGCATTAATATAAGCTTTTTTGCTTGTTTGCAGTTTCTGAACAATATATAAGAAATAAATATGTTTAAACCAAATTTCATATTACAAACAAACTCACACACACTAGCTTGCATACATCTTCAATCGTGTCGCATTGTAGATATAGACTATAGTCCTAGAACAAAGGCTGACGCTTCAGTGGCGAAAGCTAATTACCTGCCTCACATCTCCCACCTGGCCATAGTGCAATGTTGTCTTAACAAGACCTTTTTGGTTAGAGTCTGGCTAAGTGAGAGTGAACCGGAACAACGTCGGCGAATGGAATCATTGTTCCATCCATAAGTGTGGAAAATTACACTAAATGTAAACATGTTTGATTTATTTACCGGTTTTCTTTAAATGGTCATTACTAGCATGTCATTTGGCTGATTATATTCAATCTTAATACATACAACACGAAGTAAAAGTTTGTTATTGTACAAATTTATCATTGTCTCATCTTTAAAACCATCGTATGAGTTACAACCAAAAAGTGTTATTAAAACTTTACATGTAACAAATAAGGTTCTGCTTTTTTTATAATAAGGTGTACTATTCAGCTTTTTCTCGAATTGGGTAAACTGCCGTGCCGTTTTGGGATGTACATGTCTTTTAAGGCCTATGACAAACGGCTTATTAACATCCGTAGCGCATATACGTGTTGTAACTAAATAAACACATGAGCGTTAATTAAGCACCACCTGAAACTAAGAGCAATTTTAAAACTTTTAATTCAAACAGGCGACCATACTACAATGCACGAATGCACATGTAAAGCACGTGCTTCACCCAATATATACAACGCAGTGGGAAGCAGGTTCAAGTGCTGCGAACGTGCCTAGCACATTGGGGTATACATTTCAAAATTGCAGTATGTGCTCTCTGAACTGACATAAAAGATGACAGTACAAAACATTAACTTTTCTTGACACGGCAAGACTTTCGGAAAATGGAAAGTTATTGGCATGGATGACGCCTGCATGCCATGTCAGCATCGGTGCTGAAGTGAACATTAACGGTTGTTGATTGACTTATAAGGAAGCACGTGGTCATCGGTGAACTGAAGGATCGTCCAAGAACTGAAAGATCGAGGAAGGCCAATGACCTCGATGTTGATTCGACGCAATCCCATGTCCCATGCCGAGGAAATTGGCTGGCCAGGGGTACGTCGTCCAATTAGACTCGCCAATTTGGAGAACAACGCCATGGAAACATTACCATGACGCACAAGGAACCCCGATATGAACCCCATCAAGCATCTTAGAGACTATATTGGACGCCGAAATAGAGCTGGTGGTCCTCTTGTACAAAATCTGCAGGATTGGCGCATAAACTCCACGAAGAATGGCAGATGATTTCGGTGCTTTGACTTCGAGGCATGATTGTCAGTATGAGGAGGAGACTGACAGATGTTATCCGTGCTAGGGGTGGCAACACCAGGTACTGATGCGGTCGCCAGTGGTGGTTCATACAATCACAACAGTTATATTATTTGAGAACTGTTTGACAATTAGATTGGTGACGTAGTCATGGTGACCATACTTTCCGGCATTGTCCAGGAATTTCAGTTTTGTTTTTGTTTAATCAGAGAAAATATTTCGGTTAACATTTTAATACGCTGGATTTTTTTTTTCTTCAACATGTAGTGTTTCTGTTCTTATTTATATAAAATGTGGGTGATGCTTCATTTAATCCTTTTGTGTACATGACCATATCCATACATGTTTTTAAAAGTTTGCTTACAAATCGTTTTCCAGTGGCATCATGTTATAACAACTACAAGACATCATGCATAATACCATGAACCAGACTTTCATAATCTATAAATATCTCTATAGACAGATTGAAACCCTTGCACATTAATCATATACATTTATGATATATCTGAATTTATACTTTATTAACTAGATTTTTCACCCCCAAAAAGTTTACATTCCCATAGATGTACCTTTCCAGTAAAATCCTAATGCTCTAGCCTCGACAAGTGTGATAAAAATAAATGAATTGGACCTACTTTTGTATTAAATACTTTAATCCAATCATGTGTAATATTGTATCCCGGGCTGTTTTGTTTGGCTATCCGTCTCCTTATACACAGAAGTTCCTCAGCGGGTCCACAACACTTTAATCGGCTTCAAATATACAATTACATGATAGTGCAGCAACGGAGAGATGACATCTCAGAGGGGATCATCAGCCAGCCGTTGTATGAGGGTCCAGTCCCGTTGAAAACCAGAATTCTACATATATTTTCACTTTCAGGCATCCTTGTATCGTATGTACAGTACATGCATGGTCAGTCCGCAGTATCCAGCACCTCATCCACAATATTAAGCTTCCGTGCCCAAAAGGCCATATGCAGCTGACTTATACATGGCTTTGCTGATGGCCATGATGATAACGGTCAAATTGCACAGTAAAGATTTAGATATATTACTTTTACTCAACTCAGTGAATGAGTTTAGTTTTACGCCCCACTCAGCACTATTCCAGCTATATGGTGACGGTCTGTAAGTAATCGAGTCTGGACCAGACAATCCAGTGATCAACAGCATGAGCATCGATCTGCGCAATTGGGAACCGATGACATGTGTCAACCAAGCCAGCGAGTCTGACCACCCGATCCCGTTAGTCGCCTCTTACGACAAGATTCGGTTACTGAATCAATTCTAACCCGGACTTTCACGGGTGACTTAATTCAGCAATATACAAACGTATTTATACCCCCTTTAAAAACCTATATCCCGCCAAATTATCAACGATAATTGTCAAAACCTCTGAGATAGATTTACTATACCTACTGACATTATTTTGGTGTGCAATGTATTATTTACTTATTTATTGATAGAAGAAGAAAAATCTTCTACAATTTTTCGTTTATTATGATATTTTCCTTTCTTGATAAGCAACTACCATTCTTAAAAATAACCCCTTCAGAGATCGATTTCCTATTAAGATCAGGCAGATCGATCAGGCACCGTAAGAGCCCAAATCTATTCTGATGAACTCTTATAGCCTACAGAGTTCTCATGATCTTGACATGGACAAATATCACAGTTTGGAATATGTCATCACTCATCGTGCTTTTGGATGAGCTATTTCCGTAGAATGGATGGTTTTACGAATGCGTTTATCTCACACACTTCCCGCTATCGTATTATTAAATCCTAAGAATGAATCATATCGCAATGTCGCGCCGTTTTATCGCCATTTCGTGTCGTGTTATCGCAATATCGATATATCGTGTCGCCATATCGCAATATCGTGTCGTACTATCGCTTTGTCGCGATATCGCCTAGATTTTTTTCAGGGCGATAAAGCGAATGCCCGAATCAGCCACAAATGTCTCCGATTATGCCCCGTGTTTTCCATCGTCATGTGGTGACGGAAATATTGTTCGAACGCCCAGTAAAATAATAAGGCTAAAACGTTTAGATCCAAATGAATGGTGTTAATATTTTATTTTTCATTTTGTTTTTACTGGTTGTCTCTGTAATCTTAAGGTGCGTTCACACGTTGCAACTAGTTGTATAAAACTTGTGGCATGCAACAAATTTCACAGTGTGAACAGGGTAGTTGGACAGATTTTTGTTGCAAGGAATAGAAATTGCTCTATTTCCATGCGACAAGTTGTACGGTTCTGGCCAATCAGATCGCGTTTCGTAGTCTCGTGATATTTATGCAGACATCAAACGTGGCGATACCACAACAACGGACGACGCAACATGACCGTACGCTAGTTTCTACAGTGCGTTGCTAAGCAACATGTAAAACGAGATCTCACGATACCGAAAATTGTATACAACTTGGCCTGTGTGTGAACGCAACTCAAGGCGTGCAACTTGTTGTATGCAACATGTTGTAACAAACTAGTTGCAACGTGTGAACGCACCTTTAGTCTGTTATGTTCCAAACTATACTAATACGGATTCACCCTGCAACTATCGTCATCGGTTGGTCAGGCACGATGACCTAATGATGCATGTCATTGTATTCAAACTAGGAAAATGGATTCTCATGATGTCAGCCACTGGATTGTCTGGTTCAGAGGCGATTATTACAGATCAAAGCCATATACATGTAGCTGGAATATTGGCTGTGTATGGCATTAACAAATAGCTAACGAAATTTTGATCTTTCTCTCCTAATAAGTTTGCAATTCCAGGTTTCAACACTTGTCAGGACAAACTGCCCAACTGTGATATGTACGGCAGCGAAACATGTGGTGGAGCTTACAGAACCTGGGCGCTGGACAACTGTGCATATACATGTAGACTCTGTGGTAAGTAAGCCATTTTCAAATGTAAATAGCGCCCTCTTTCATCCAGTGCCAATAAGGTGCGCCGTGGATTAGTACCAACCATGTAGATGCTCTACTCTGATTTCCATTTAGTTGGACCCGTGAAGATCCGGGTTAAAATTGATCTGCAGTAACCATGAGTCTGGACCAGACAATCGAATGATCAACAGCATGAGCATCGATCTGTGCCACTGGGAACCGATGACATGTGTCAACCAAGCCAGCGCGGCGGTGCTGGAATGACAAAAAAAGGGATTAGTGTTGTTTTTTTAATTTGGTCGGCAAAAACATTGGGTCGGTCGGGCGAAACACTGAAAATAAAAATGCTGCCCAATCAGGCCCTGACAACAATTAACACATACCACTGCGCCTAACGCTTTAGTGATTTGAGATACTATTGTCCGTGGATTGCAATGTTGGCACACTGGGATTGTATTTTTTTTTAAAACGATTACGATAAATCTGAATTAAACATTTTCACTTATTACACTGACTATTTTCCACAAATGTGAATGTTTTGAATTAATGTATCTTGAAAAACTGATATTCATTACACTATCGCAATCATATATTTTCCCTATACCTGCCCTTCAACAGTCTCTATCCACACCACAGATAACAAATGTTCTGTTGACAATACTCTCTGCAGATGACAGATGATTCCAAGGCGCACAGAAACTACGGTGATTTCACCCATTATGCATTCTATTTAGAACTTCTGGTTTACCTTTGTTTTCGATACACAAATATATACGCTATTCCACTATGATATAATAGACTTTAGACACTGATTACTTCCTTTAGGGTGAGTGAGTGAGTATGGTTTAACGCCGTTTTTAGCCATATCCCAGCAATAATACACCAGAAAATGGGCTTCACACATTGTACCCATGTGTTCCCGGATCTTCGGCGTGACGAGCGAACGCATTAACCACTAGGCTACCCCTCCGCCCACTTCCTTTACAGAATCTGTCAGATCATGGCAGAGAGAGGTGTCAAGTCCAGGAAAGATTCCGTTTCATACGAGATTGAGAATCCGTATCTCATGCATTTTTAACTCAAGACTAAAGCTAGGAGATGATATTTACAATGACTGAATACCCATTAAATTTATTTCTTCACACTTCAGGATACCCAGCTAACACTTAATATTCCGGGATATATCCTGAGGGCGAATTCATTCAGCCCAGATTTTTTGGAATAAAACAGTTTTCTTAAAAAGTCACAGTTCCACCTCCACCGACTAAAAAGTTTCCTCTCTGTATTTGTATATGCAAATGTAATATATCCTTTATCAGCAGATTAATTTCTTTTGTGGCTTTTTCAGATGTGTGACTGGTGGAAGTGTTGCCGGGAACACAGTACAATCAGAAGTAATCAGATTCCATTTGTTAGATTTCCATTTATTAGTCAAAGCCATTAAACTACAATTTGCCTTCTTCGTGTTTTGATGTCACGGGTTTAATCCAATGTTGACCCGAGAAGATCCGGGTTAGCATTGGTCTTGAGCTACCCATTCTTGTCGTAAGAGGTGACTAACGGGATCGGGTGGTCAGGCTCACTGACTTTGTAGAACGATGCCCATGCTGTTGATCACTGGATTGTCTGGTCCGGAATCGATTATTTGCAGACCGCCGTCATATAGCTGCAAAATTGCTGAGTGCGACCAGACAATCCGGTGTATCAAGAGCATGAACATCGATGTACGCAATTGGGATACAATGACATGTGTCAACCAAGTCAGCGAGCCTGACCATCCAATCCCGTTAGTCGCCTCTTACAATAAGCATGGGTTACTGAAGATCAATTCTAACCCGGATCTTTACGGGTCGGTAACAATACAGACGATAAAAAGTACATTGAGACATTATTTAATCTGAAAATAATGCATGACGTTCCGTGACCCGGTACTCGAACTTCACACTGTTGGAACGGGAGAGTCAAAGACGAGTGTGGCCTCCCTGGGACGGAACCACAACGTCTCCTCATGGACAGGAGAACCTGTCGGACCACTCTAACCGGAAGTTGACGTCATTAGTCATTGCTGGGGTTCCTGCAAAGTCTGGGGTTGTTTCTTCTGCTCGTCATCCAAAATGTGTTTGATCAGCTTCAAGTCTTGGAAACCGGAAGGCCAGTCGATGCATGTACTGCTTCATATAAGAAGAGATTCTTGAGGGGCATTTAGAAGTTCAGTTCTCTCACCTGAAGAAGGGGCAAGAAGTAGCCCAGAAACGTCGTGTTATACAATAAAGAAGAAGTTGCCATCCATATACTCGTCTTATTCATATAAGAAGTTGTAACTCAGCGCTGCAGTACAGAGCGTAGCGTAACGTTGAAATGCATGAATGGAAGTAGGACTTTGGTCAAAACTCGGTTCCAATACTGTATTGCAAGATTGGACCATCAACCAATTGAGATCGACAGTTGGCACAAAATGCTCCACAAATTATTATTCTGCTTCCGCCAAATCGGTCCACCTCACGAACTTACGTTACATCTTCCCCATGTGTGCCGCGTGCGTACCCTGATATCGCTCAACCCAATGTGAAGCGTGACCCGTCACTGAAGGCAGTCTAGTTCCACTGCTTGTTTTTCAATCTTACATGTCTACGGACCCATCATAAACGTTGAGCACGATGATTTATATGGATGCCAAGGTCGGATACCCGCGGCCTAGTTGCCACAGGCCGTCATGTCTTTACGATGATTAAAGATTAAGAAAATATATTAACAAATTCAGATGCCCCCCAATCGAAAATGCTTCACAGTGAAATAACTCTTCTGAATTTTTTTTTTTTTCTAATCTTTAATCCTCCCAAAGACACGATGGCCTGTGCTGCCACTCTGATTCTGGACAACTGTCTGCTTGTGGAGGTTGCAGCCACACATATGTAGACTTACCTGTACGTAGTCTTGGTGTAACGTAACTCAGGACTTGGGAGATCTCCAACGGTGCCCGTCTTTTGCGTACTTGTCCTCAGATTGTAAATTGTCTGACGACTACAACCAAGGGATCCTGCAACAAGGTTAACAAGCATTGTCACTAAGGTGACATAATCCCCCGCCGCAAATTATCAAATCAAACTTAAAAAGAAATGAAAGTGAAGGTCGTAGTTTAAGATGAAGTTAAATGTCAACAAAAACATGACAAGTCAACCTCTCTTAATATCTTGCTCTGTAGTTGTTCAAATGCACAAATATTTTCAAGACTCACTTTGAACTTGACAAGAATGTCATGGTGTATGAAATATGCAAAATTAATAATAAAGAAATTGCATATTGAAAAACATTCAAGGGAAGTCTTGAAAGTCTATGAAGAAAATCCAGTGAACCGTTCTTGAGATATCTTGCTGATAATCTTAACATGTGCAGGTTATCAAAATCAACTGGGCCTTGCACCTTCCCTAGATGAAGCTTGGTGTCAAATATGAAGAAAATCCAGTGAATGGTTCTTGAGGTATCTCGCTGACAAGCTAAACATGCATGTTAACATGCTGAAATCTTCAAAGTGTCGCCATGATCTTGAAAATTGAGTGAAGGTCACCAAAATCGACTGGGCCATGCGCCCTCCTTAGATGAAGCTTGCAGTTGAAGATGAAGAAAACCCATTGACGGGTCCTTTAGATATCTCACTGACAAGCTCAACATGCATGTTAAGATCCTTAGATAAAGTTTGGTGTTGAATATGAAGAAAATCCAGAGAACGGTTCTTGAGATATCTTGCAGACAAGGGTGAAACGTTAAAGTCCCCTTGTGACCTTGAAATGAAGGTCAAGGTCACCAAACCTGACTGGAACCTTTCTTACACTGTGATGAACCTAGGTACCAAATATGAAATAGGTACCATCTAGTCAATGGTTCTTAAGATATTCCAATTCGTACGTACGTACGTACGGACGGGCGGACGGAGCCTAATACTACTAATAAACTAGTCGTGTTCCGGAAAATACCGAGAGTTAATGAGCAATGTTGAAATCAAGTGACCTTACGTCATAGCGGGGAGTTGTGGCTGCTTCAATATAGTGTTTAGTAGGTAACTAGCATTCAATGACACCAGTATAGATGTTGAATTTTCGCAAAATGACCTTGCACATATTCGTACATATCAACCTTAGCCCGTGGTTAGTTGATAGCAGAGCAGAGTGAGTTAAAATTTAAAGTCACTTTGGCAAAATTTCGGCCATATCGTGACTAAATTAATATATATTAAAGGTAAATTATAAAAACCTGTCAACGAAAGACAGTAAAACAACTACATTATCACAGGTAGAAATTTAAAACTAGTAACCAAATCTAAAACATTTAACTATACACGACAATACAATATAATACCAGGCTATAGATTGCCAACAACTGAAGGTAGATCACCATACTAGGGACCATGGGGACTAACAGTACACTTGCTTCCTGCATGGGCCCTAGCTTGATTAACCTCATCTCTTCAGCTGTTACCAAGTTAGATGTAACTAGCCATACATTAAAAATACACATATGCTACGATTAAAGATGTGGATAGTTGAAATTTACCTTGAATGTTTTGGAACTTACGTACCCTCTCAGGAGGACAATAAGTTTACAGTACTTTAACCATCCTCGAGGATACAGCCACTTAATTACTATTTCAAACTTCCAATCATAAAATATTTATCTATTTACAAAACATTTTACAAATCTAATTCCTTTAACATGCAATAATTAAATGAGAACTGATACCATTAAAAAGATCCTTCACAGTTCGTGATTTGAAATAGATATCCCTTGTGATTGAATATTCAACACAGTCAAGCAGGACATGCTTGACCGTGATTCTTTCATCACAAGGGATACAAAACGGAGGATCCTCACCTATTGATAGCAGAGCAGAAAGCGATCGAGGTAGATTTGTCTAGTGAAGACGACCAATCAGAATTTGTTTACTTGCAACATTCATTTTCCACTTCGAAACTCTATTTAGCCTAGATGTTGTACTTTTCTTTAACACACTGTGGTGTGTGTGAATCTATGGATACTACACAGAAAGTAATTCACAAATCGAGCATATTATATATGTGTTATAAGCATACATACTTATACTAATGAATAGTTGATCTCGGAGTGTTTAATACAAACATAACAATCGCGTTTTTAAATAAAACGACGGTAGATTGGAGCTTACCATTGTCAAAATGTTATTGCTTGTGATGTCTTACTTCAAACAATTGGCCAAGAGTTAGGCTACATTTGTCTTCTATACAAACTAGAAAGTGTTTTTACTCGTAAAAACAGATGTGTCTTGTAGTTGTTGCTTTACGTATTACTGTCGTTTCAACAGTTGTTGTAACATGTGCTCCACTGAAAAATGGAGGGATCTTAGTTGCTTACAGTTGGCACTCAATTAGTCACCAAAGGTCATTATATCACTGACTACTTATAGTACACACACACATAAAACACAGACTAAGAAATAAAGTTATTCAAACAAACTGGATTGAAATAAAACTGACAGTGTTATTGAGTGAGTGAGTGAAGATTTAGAGTCACATAGGCACTATTTCAGCTATACCGTGACTAAAAAACAAGTTAAGCATTAATAATAAATAAAGTTATTCCTTAAAATCTGTCGTTAAAGGACAGTAAAACAACTAGGATATCACAGATGGAGACAAAACTAGCATGTAACTAAAATTTATACTATAATGCAGAACAATACAATATGAAAAAACGGGCTATAGATCACAAGCTACTGAAGGTAGATCACCATACTGGGGACCATGGGGATTTATAGTACTTTTGCTTGCTGCATGGACCCTAGCCTGATTTACGTCATCCCTAGTGTAGTGAAATCTACCCATAATTGAAAATCACAAAGATACTACGTTTAAGTAATAAACAATAATTTTACAATACCTCAACCCGCTGTGAGGATACAGCCACTCACAGTCTCAGATGTTCATTTGAACCACCAATAATAAAATATTTATCTATTTACAAATCAGTTCTATTTCTCTTTAAATGCAATACTTGAATGATAATTAACATCAAAAAGATCCTTCACTGTTTTGACATTAAAATATTTATCAATTGTGATGGAAAAATCAATACAGTATTATTCTTAAATATATTTATCAGACTATCTTTCAAGGAAGCAATGTACGTCACATTTTTTGTCTATCTCTGTAACAGCTTTTTAGCTTGAAAGACCCTAAATCCGATCGCCACTGATTATTTAATATATTTGAGTTGAGTTGAGTTGGGCTTTACGTCACTTCGGCATTATTCCAGCCATACAGTGACGAGATCAAGTCTGCATTCATAAGTATTTCAAGCACAAGTTTAAAATGAATTTTTTAAAAACATATATGATCATTACACTACCATTTGCTGATCATTAACAATAAATGATAAACATACATCCAATGAAAGAATGTTTATCCAGTTTTTCCCTTTGTTATTTATTTATACAAAATGTTGGTTGTTTAAAGCCGCACTCAGCAGTAATCTTGCTATATGGCGGCGGTCTGTAAATAATCGAGTATGGACCACACAATCCAGTGATGAGCATCGATCAGAAAAACAAAATGACCCATTGTTTCCACGGTACCTCCCCACCTGGTAAAACTTATGACGAACGTTGCGTGGTTGGAGATTACAGTAAACTGTTCTAATTGGCTGACAAAGATTTCACCTGCGTTGGCGGTCTTATCACACTCACTATCACCCACCTTGTAGATATAGCCAACACCGACCCGCCACCGTCAGTCATAGGTTTACTCCAAGGTTTGCCATGCTCTCCAATAACGTGGTGGAAGGTAAGTTCGAAATTGTGCGTAGGAATATATTCAAAGTGTTAACGTATGTCGTTGTATTCTTACTGTTCGCGACCCGTGAAGGTCCGGGTTATAATATTGATCTTCAGTAACCCATGCTTGTCGTAAGAGGCGATTACGGAATCGGGTGGTCATCGGTTCCCAATTGCGCAGATCGATGCTCATGCTGTTGATCACTGGATTATCTGGTCCAGACTAGATTAATTACTGACCGCCGCCATATAGCTGGAATATTGCTGAGTGCGGCGTAAAACTAAACTCACTTACTCACTTTCTGTTCGCCATAAAAATAGCCCTTATTGATTATTTCATATAATCGTATGAAAGATAACGTATACACTTTGGGTTTTCCTGAACAGTATACCCATGCTGATTCAGAAGACCAAACCGAAACATGAGTCTCATTAACCTATTCAGACAATGACCTACTTTTCAGCCGATCCGAATTTTCTCGTGTGAAAGTGAAAATAGACATCACAAACAACTATGGTTACACTGAATTCCAATTCCTTGTTTCATAAGAAAATGCTGTTTACAAGCTTATTTGATTTTAATGTTTAATAACATCGTATTTCTGTATTTTATCGCGAGGCTTAGGCAGCATGACCTTAACTAAGACGTCACAGATTGACCCTGTTTGGTGAGGTCTTAAAATGATTCATAATTCATCTGGCTCAATGGTTACACCTGTTATGTTCTTTGCGCTAATTCAGTGTAGTTTTGTAACCCACAATGTGATTGATATAATATCAAGTCGGTACCAGACCGCTAAACTTTTCTAGAGGCAGAGCCTCGGTTTTAGATTTTCATGATTTCCAGTTTCCTTTTGTCAGAGCACGCTGCACGACGTCATTGCAAGGATTAGAAGGAGCGTAGTGTTGCAATATACAAGTGCTTAGATGTATCAAGTAATACTGATTAATATTTATGTATCCAGTTGCATGAATTTTTCTCAAAATTCTGGACTGGTTATTGTACTAAGGTGCGCAATAGGACGGAACCAAGTCAGCAGTAAACGAGGATGTTGTGTAATCAATGTTTTGACTTGAAATGTAGATTGCAGTTTGCAAACATATTTCTTTTGTTGTTACAGTTTTCGTGTTCTGGATTTATCTGGTTGATATCTCTGTATCAGGTAAGACAGATATGGCGATAAGTATCACGGCCAAATAATGCATGAAGTGCTCAATAACACCAGAGTTCCCCAGTCAAACATGTAATTTACACGAGGTCATTCTCATTGTTTTTCGTAGGAGTAAGTGAGTGAGTTCAGTTGTACGCCGCACTCAGCAATATTCCAGCTATAAGGCGGCGTCTGTAAATAACTGAGTCTGGACCAGACAATCCAGTGATCAACAGCATGCGCATCGATCGGCGCAATTGGGAACCGATGACATGTGTCAACCAAGTCAGCGAGTCTGACCACCCGATCCCGTTAGTCGCCTCTTACGGCAAACATGGGTTACTGAAGATCAATTCTAACTGGATCTTCACAGGTGTCTGTCGTGGGAACATTAACAGTGACAACATTGCTATAACATATGTTCTGTTCTTGGGGTTATATAAAGTTCCTCTCTAAAATTTAGCTCCAGCTCTAGTCCAGCGAGACATCTGTGCTGACCACCTCTCTTTCTGCAAGGACTTCGAGGGCTGGGGGTGTGGCGGCCAGTACGAGGAATGGGCAAGCTATAACTGTGCCAAAACATGTGGATATTGTGACAAGAAAGGTAAGAGTGAGTGAGTATGGTTTTATGCCGATTCCTTTGCAATGTTCCAGCAATATCACGGCAAGGGATATCAGAAATGGGCTTCACACATTGTACCCATGTGGGGAATCGTACCTGGGTTTTCGGCGTGACGAGCGAACGCTTTTAAAGAACCACTAGGCTATCCGCCGCCTCAGAAAATAAAAACATTTTTTCCAAAGCTTATAATTACAAAGTTATTGGGTGTAATTTCTTCTTATCAATCTTACTCTTATTCCTAGGATTCGTTATTCCGCACTTTCCGTACACTGTAACGCAACCTGTGCCCAGTCAACAATGCGTTGACGAAATCCCCAACTGTAAGGAATACGGCCAGTCAGTTTGTACCGACAGCCAATACAAAACGTGGGTTCAGGATAACTGTGCTTCCTATTGCAACCTTTGTGGTGAGTATACAGAAATGTCCACCCCATGAGTCTATACGACCGGGGGTGGGTGTGCGTGCTTACCTGCGTGTGTGTTTGATGATGTAGGTGTGTAGGTAGGTTCTCTTTAGCAATACCAGTGACAAATCACCGACGTGTGTGTTTGAGAAAGTAGGTGGGTGCGTAGGTTTCCTTTAGCAATACCAGTGACAAATCACCGACGTGTGTGTTTGAGGATGTAAGTGTGTAGGTAGGTTTTCTTTAGCAATACCAGTGACAAATCACCGACGTGTGTGTTTGAGGATGTAGGTGTGTAGGTAGGTTTTCTTTAGCAATACCAGTGACACATCACCGACGTGTGTGTTTGAGGATGTACGTGTGTAGGTAGGTTCTCTTTAGCAATACCAGTGACAAATTACCGACGTGTGTGTTTGAGGATGTAGGTGTGTAGGTAGGTTCTCTTTAGCAATACCAGTGACAAATCACCGACATGTGTGTTTGAGGACGTAGGTAGGTTTTCTTTAGCAATACCAGTGACACATCACCGACGTGTGTGTTTGAGGATGTAGGTGTGTAGGTAGGATCTCTTTAGCAATACCAGTGACAAATTACCGACGTGTGTGTTTGAGGATGTAGGTGTGTATGTAGGTTTTCTTTAGCAATACCAGTGACAAATTACCGACGTGTGTGTTTGAGGATGTAGGTGTGTAGGTAGGTTCTCTTTATCAATACCAGTGACAAATTACCGACGTGTGTGTTTGAGGATGTAGGTGTGTAGGTAGGTTTTCTTTAGCAACACCGGTGACAAATTACCGACGTGTGTTTGAGGATGTAGATGTGTAGGTAGGTTCTCTTTAGCAATACCAGTGACAAATTACCGACGTGTGTGTTTGAGGATGTAGGTGTGTAGGTAGGTTCTCTTTAGCAATACCAGTGACAAATTACCGACGTGTGTGTTTGAGGATGTAGGTGTGTAGGTAGGTTTTCTATAGCAATACCAGTGGCAAATCACCGACGTGTGTGTTTGAGGATGTAGGTGTGCAGGTAGGTTTTCTATAGCAATACCGGTGACAAATCACCGACGTGTGTGTTTGAGGAAGAAGGTGTGTAGGTAGGTTTTCTATAGCAATACCGGTGACAAATCACCGACGTGTGTGTTTGAGGATGTAGGTGGGTAGGTAGGTTCTCTTTAGCAATTCTAGTGGCAAATCACCGACCTGTGTGTTTGAGGACGTAGGTAGGTTTTCTTTAGCAATACCAGTGACACATCACCGACGTGTGTGTTTGAGGATGTAGGTGTGTAGGTAGGTTCTCTTTAGCAATACCAGTGACAAATTACCGACGTGTGTGTTTGAGGATGTAGGTGTGTATGTAGGTTTTCTTTAGCAATACCGGTGACAAATTACCGACGTGTGTGTTTGAGGATATAGGTGTGTAGGTAGGTTCTCTTTAGCAATACCAGTGACAAATTACCGACGTGTGTGTTTGAGGATGTAGGTGTGTAGGTAGGTTTTCTTTAGCAATACCGGTGACAAATTACCGACGTGTGTGTTTGAGGATGTAGATGTGTAGGTAGGTTCTCTTTAGCAATACCAGTGACAAATTACCGACGTGTGTGTTTGAGGATGTAGGTGTGTAGGTAGGTTCTCTTTAGCAATACCAGTGACAAATTACCGACGTGTGTGTTTGAGGATGTAGGTGTGTAGGTAGGTTTTCTATAGCAATACCAGTGGCAAATCACCGACGTGTGTGTTTGAGGATGTAGGTGTGCAGGTAGGTTTTCTATAGCAATACCGGTGACAAATCACCGACGTGTGTGTTTGAGGAAGAAGGTGTGTAGGTAGGTTTTCTATAGCAATACCGGTGACAAATCACCGACGTGTGTGTTTGAGGATGTAGGTGGGTAGGTAGGTTCTCTTTAGCAATTCTAGTGGCAAATCACCGACCTGTGTGTTTGAGGATGTAGGTTCTCTTTAGCAATACCAGTGACAAATCACCGACGTGTGTGTTTGAGGATGTAGGTGTGTAGGTAGGTTCTCTTTAGCAATACCAGTGACAAATCACCGACGTTGGACTTTCACTTCGGTCTGCAGAGGCGTTGCCTTTAAATAAAAAAGACCTTTCTAAAACCCCATCCCTGTTCAAAAAATGATATTGAATTTATATCACAGTCAGCATCTTACTCCCAGAACGATATAATATTTAATACGATAGTTTTACATGCTGTCCTTTCGGTTTCGTATGTTGTATTTCTTTCTATATTTGATTACTTCAAGAAATTCTGACGCCATTTCACTCAGTAACGGTGTCCACATATATAACAAAAGACGAAATGGAGAAATTAGGCCATGGCTTTTATGACATGTGTGTTTAATGAGTGATTAAACATGTTTCTATACATGAATATCCATTGTAGAATAATCAATTGGCAGTATCAAACATTATCATAATTATATAATCATAATTGCAAAATATTATTTGATGGAAGTTTATATCAGGCAGTGTAGAATATTTTGGCCCATTTCAGATGTAGCGCATAGCTGAAAGTTAATAGCGACATGAACGTAGAAAGAAATGTAAAATTATATACTCTTCTGGTATCAGGTGGTCAGGCTCGCTGACTTGGTTGACCCTACATGTCATCAACTCGGCGAAAGACAACTGTGCTAAAACATGTGGTCTCTGTGGTAATTAAAACATTGTTGAGTGTGTACAGTATGCAGCCTCGATAAATCAAATCTCATTTTCCTCTTGGGTATTACTCTCCGCCGAATTTTGATCGGCGTCAGTTTTACATAAGAAATTTAAAGACCACAAATGACAAATATAGTTTTGTGCATTCTTACAGATCTGGTGACTGACTGAGCAAAGATTGGAGCAGTGAGGCATCGGGATTCCCTGTACATAACTCTTAGTCGGTACAATAAAACTGCCGTTCATCGAGTGAGGTTGTCATGTCTGTATATGCTTGCAAAAGCATATTGTATTCCAAGTAAAAACTGGAGCAATAATTGAAGGAGCCAAATTATCCATGAGTATTTTCACCTGTCTGTCTTGCGGCTTCTGAAAAGGCAGTCGTCTTTTGATCTTTCTAAGATGCCAAACAGAAACAGTCATATCATTCTGAAATTTAACGCGAGTGAGTTAGTCATACGCTGCTTTTAGCCATATTCCAGAAATATCACGGCCTGAAATTTAACGTGAGTGAGTTTAGTATTACTCCGCTTTTAGCAATATTCCAGCAATATCACGGCCTGAAATTTAACGAGAGTGAGTGAGTGAGTTTAGTCATACTCCGCTTTTAGCAATATTTTAGCAATATCACGGCCTGAAATTTAACGTGAGTTAAGTCATAGGCCGCTTTTAGCAATATTCCAGAAATATCACGGCCTTAAATTTAACGGGAGTGAGTGAGTGAGTGAGTGAGTTTAGTCATACGCCGCTTTTAGCAATATTCCAGCAATATCACGGCCTGAAATGTAACGAAATGTCAGTGTGTCACGTTGTGATGTGAGGCGTTTCATTTGGTGTTTGTTGATTTGTGTGGCGCCAGCCTTCATCATTACACCTCCATCCCCAATATGCTCCCTGCTGTAGAGACCGCCTCAGTGGTGTAGTGGTTAGAGCGTCCGCCAGGAGTGCGGAAGGTCGTGGGTTCGATCCCCGACCGCGTCATACCAAAAGACGTTAAAATATGGTACTTGTTGGTCCCTGCCTGGCGCTCGGCATTAATGGGTACAACAAGGACTGGTCGGCTCGGAGTCAGTATCATGTGTCTGAGAGGGTTATTCATGCTTCACTGCGGCATGGTATCTCAGTGGGCTAGCACTATAAAATCAGCTTAACTCTGGGCTAGTACAAGCAGCCGCACATACACATACACACGCATACACGTCGTCATATGAGCTAAATATTCTCAAGTACGACGTAAAACCCAATTTCACCTCACCTTCACCTCCCTGCTGTAGATACCGTTTTCAAAGATATGACATTAAAATGATAGGCAACTTTGCTTTGCATTTCTCTATGCAACGTATCCACGACACGTAGATGTTGATTTTCGGCGTGTGTGGTCAAAAAGTCACATCGGCAGTATTTCAGCCATATACTGACTAAAAGTACCATCCACGATCATCTGAGGCAAAGAAAAAGGGCTGAAAATGACCTTCAAAATTGGGTACATCGCAAATGACGCCATTTTGACACATTACGTAATTGCGATTCACGGCGTTATTTGGTGTATGTTTTGAAATGTAAAAATCGCACAATTACTCGCAGCGCTGAATTTCAAAAATAGCACGTTTGCGAACTCTGATATCTCCTTTGGATCAGATTACCAGTAGTAATTGATTTATAAACGTTGCCGATAAACCTAGAATCGGTTGGAATATTTTGGAAATTACTCAAACTCGAATGCCGAAGTGAGCTTTCCGACATATTCGACAGTGTTTCCAAAATATGTCACGAAAGCCGGTCATGAGACGCCTATTACATCACGTATATTTCACACTCACCTGCATCAGTGATTTCCTCCTACATTGTGTAATAAAATAACAAATGGTCCTTGTCACCAAGTGACTCAGTGTCTAATCAGTCTAAATATACTGGGGGTGAAAACCAATGCTGTGCTCGTAGAACTGCTTGTTTTAGTGAATGAGTGAGTGAGTTAATATTTAAAGTCACATCGGCAGTATTTCAGCCATATCGTGACTAAGAAAGTTGTAAATTTATAAATGAATAAAAATAAAGTTAGATATTATACTTACCTGTGTACAAAGGACAATAAAACAACTAAATTATCACAGAAATAAATTTAAAACTAGTAATTAAATCTAAAATATTTGAACTATGAATACAATATAAAAACAGGCTATATATTGCCAACAACTGAACTTAGATCACCATACTAGGGACCATGACTGCTTGCTTTAAATGTAATCAGAACCAAAATTTAGATTTCACACAGTGTAGCATTTTCACAAATGTTTAGGCATCCTTATGTATATTCGTTGCATACATTGGCTCAATATTTTCAGAATATGCATGCACTGTAAATAAAACGTTGTCAATTTGACAATTTTAGCGTTGTCATTATTGCTCTGACAATTATGAATTGTCAGTTTGAACACTGAGAGTTGTCAGTATGACAACCCACGTTGTAATTGTGACAATACTGAGAGTCTTATACTGATTGCTTTAAAACAATCATTTATTAGATATGATATTTAGATAGTGTTGACGATCATGTTTATAGTTTAACCACGCGTTTTACATAAGATATGTGTTGACAATATTATATTGTCAAAGCATTGTCATATTGTGAGTTTTATCAATTTTTGACAATACAAGGTTGTCAAACTTGACGGATTGAGCGCATGCGCAGTTCTAATGTCCTTCACAGCGAAGGTCACAGTAAACGAGGTGCAACAGTCAGGAACGTCAGGAACGTCAGGAACATCAAAGGGAACTGGAAAAGTTGTTATAGTAAGTATATGCAAAACACTTTTACAATTTCCTTTCATTAGATAACTACTGAGTACGAATACAGTGTTTTGGATTCTCGCACTGTCCATATGAACGGAAAATCATGAAGAAATATTTCAACTGGACACCACACAAATTTGTGCACACATTCCGAATAATAACTGGCCATATAGCGTTAGATACAACACAAATCTCTATCGAGTAATAACATTTAGTACTTACGTGTGCTTGAGAATGTCAAAATGTTCAGTTTAATCGCATGAATTTTTCTATCCATTGTCTTCAGGAACCCGGTTGAAATTTGACAACCTTCGTTGTCGCATCGACAACATATTGACAATATATTAGAGTTACCTCCCCTAGCTCAGGTCATACAATTAGAGTTACGCCCCTCATGTGTATAGTGCATATCCAATTGTGTCACTCAAAGTGGCCATATAGCATTGGATACAACACAAATATCTATCGACTAATAACATTTAGTACTTACGTGTGCTTGAGAATGTCAAAATGGTCAGTTTAATTGCATAGATTTTCTATTTAATTGTTTGCAGGAACCCGCTTTGAACTTGACAAACTTCATTGTCGCATATGATAGAGTTACCTCCCCTAGCTCAGGTCATAACAATTATAGTAAACGTCTATTCAACCCCCCAATCTCATTTAATCACCTTTTTTTTTTATTTTCAACAACACTATCTTGAAAACAAGACAACCAACACAATACATGCATGCAAAACATTAAACATCACTTTTGTCGTTAACACTTCAAATCAAAGGCCTCTCCGGTGTGAATAAACGTTTAATAATTACACAAAAACTTCACTTGGAAATTGGAAATTGGCAAATCAAGTACGAGAAAATTAAAGTACGGATTGACATTTTAAAATGTAATGAAAATAGAATAATTCAGGACTGTTTTAAAAGATGAATGAGAACTACGTGAGTGTTTATGCATGTGTCACTTGTACATTTGTATCAAGGCATTTTACAGACCTACTTTCCCACTATTCAATTCATTCACACGACCCAAGTTTTCAACTGACTTGTGGTATATATGCGTGCCAGGCGACCTTTAAAAGTATCCGAGTTTTGAAGAGGCACATAAAATCAAAACACAACGTCTTTTATAGGAACAATCTATTCAATAAGCTACAAGGAGATTTGGATGATACTGAGCATGAAATACATTTGAATCTCAGAAATGATGCGAATGAGTCGGATCACAACAAACCATTCAAACACAAGATCTAAAGCAATATGTTGCTCTGCAATTACTGCATCTACGTGAAACAAGAAAACTGCAACACTCAGCCTGTCCATTGATTCTTGAATTAGTAGGGAATATACTAGATAGGTTGAGCGAAAGAACATTGACTGAAGTAAACAAGATATTGACAGCTGCACATTGCAATGATTTGTTGTTAAATGAGATGGAACGAACTGTTCTTGGTGAAATGCAATTGTTGGGAAGCATACTTAGTCAATTGAGAGATGAATATAACTTCCAATATCAGGAGCACGTTTTCTTTTGTGAAACCGGTAGAGCACGTAGTTGGTAATTTACCTGACGGAACAACCGATGCTGTTCAGTACATCCCTCTTTAGAAACAATCAAGTCTCTCCTAGAACATGAAGATGTGTTTTCTCAGGTTATGAGCCAACAACAGTCTCAGGATGGGAAAATGCGTGACCTATGTGACGGTTCAAGATTTAAACAAAATCAGTTATTTGGCAGAATACAAAGAGCAATTCAGATCATGTTGTATTATGATGAGTTTACAGCTGTAAACCCCATTGGTCACAAAGCAAAACACTACAAGAATGGCCCATTCTATTTTGTCATAGGAAATTTAGGTCCAAAACACAGGTCCAAACTTCACGTTATGCAGTTAGCATTGCTTGCTCGCTCTAAATCAATCAAAACAAATGGACTGTTCAAAGTCATGCAGCCACTCATACGTGATGTAATGACCTTGGAAACTGAAGGCGTTGTGATAAAAAGAAGTGAAGGTGAATTTCAATTCCATGGTTCAATTGCTGCAATTATTGCTGATAATCTTGGAGCGCACAGCCTCGGTGGATTCATTGAATCTGTTTCGGTCTTCAGAAATTGTCGGTTCTGCATGATCACAATTGCAGGTCACAAAGAACAAGTTAATGGGATCACTGAAGCTGGAGGTTTAGCGAACACATACGGTGTTAAGTCTGACTCGCCCTTGAATGCGTTGCATCACTTCCACATAATTGGTGGTCTGCCACCTGATATCGGCCATGATCTTTTTGAATCTGGAGTTGTGTGCGATGTGCTTGAGAAAATAATTCAGAGCTTCGTGCGAGATAGCTTATTTAGCCTTATGTTCTTAAATGAACAAATACAACAATTCCCCTATGGTTCTAATGACAAGTCAAACAAGCCAACTATCTTGGCAGCACAGTTATGTAAACTCAAAGTGAAACAGAATTGCATGCAGATTTGGTGCCTACTGCGGTTGTTGCCCCTGTTGGTCGGTTTTGCTGTAGAAGAAGGAGACCCAAAGTGGGAGGTTTTGCTTGCCCTCATGGATATGGTGGAAAACATATGCGCCCCCATCACTAGCGAGGGAGACTGTGCTTTTATGAATGATTGCATTCAGAAGTTTGTCAATTTGTATACAAGAGAGTTCCCAGAAGCACACTTCAAACCCAAGTTTCACTACGTCCTACACTACCAGGAACAAACACGCCCCTCACAAACGTTTGGACAATGAAGTTCGAGGGCAAGCACAATTTCTTCAAAGAAATTGTACACAGAGTCAAAAACAGAAAACATCTGTGCAAGACCATGGCTTTCCGACATCAGTGCCACCAGTGCTTGTGGGCTGAGTCGAAGTCATTCCTGTCAGACCATGGGGAGAATGAGCATCACAGAGGCAGCACCATACAGGTTGCAGTCTTAGATGACCAAATACAGGATCTCTTGCAACCTTACGTTCATGGAGCTACTGCTGTTTTTCAATGTCAGTCAGTATGGGTAAACGGACACATGTATGTTCCTGGCTGTGTCATGTGGGTCTCTTTTGAAGATGACGAAATACAGTTTGGGAAGTTTGAATGTTGTTTCATACTGCATGGCAAGCCTTACTTGTTGTGCAAAAAATGTAAGACAATTAGATTTTCACACCACTATCACTCTTACGAAGTTCAGATCACTGATGAATTTGGTCTTCACAACACAAACAGTATTTTGGATGCGCATCCATTGTCTTTGTACAGGAATCAACATCAAAACAGTACATGTGTCGTCTTAAGACATAGAATTGTGACATGAGTCTCTTGATCAACCAAAAATGAATCTTGTTTGAACTGCCTTGGATAGGTTATCACATATTTATCAGTATATTTTGGAAAGCTTGGAAGAGTTACAATATTAGTTCAGCCCAGCGTTGTCATATCTAGATACATACAAAGTTAATGCGTAAATATGTGCATCCATAAATAATTACATATTGTTGTATACAGGCACACGACATGCATGCTTTTTTCAAATGTATTATGGAACACCATATGTATACACACACACACATTCTCCTCTACACACATTTTTCAGTTTATGTAATTTCAATAATAATATAACTTTTGTTTTATTTATTGTAGATGGCAGAAGTTGACTTCCACATCACAAATGTGAAACCAAATGGAAACAATCAAAAATCAATTATCTCATTTACGCTGGATCAAGCAGAGAATGCTATCTCTCAACACTTTGATATTCCACTCGGGTTTCAGACCAAACTATATTCGGATAAGTATTCTGATTGGGTAGACATTTCCTTAAATGATCCAAAATTGCAAGGGGGAGGTAAGCTAAGGGTGATGAGTACTCGGAAAGCTGTTGATGTCAGCGAGAGAGGTGACAACCCTCTGTGTACGACAGCTGGCCCACAGGAGGTGCCAACCGTTCTGAACGAGACACCAGCGACCTGTACGAACAAGACATCTGTGAGGTATGTAATTTATAATTAATAGCATTGATTCACACGCACATGTTAAAGCAAAAAACTATGCCCGGCCATTCTAGAAGTAAGTGATGTGAAACCTTTCATCAATTGTAGATTAGCAATCAGTAATTTGTCATTATTTACACCTTTAAGTTATGGAATGTGTCTAGAAGAAATACATTTGCTCGCCCAGACAATGCAAATGTTGATAAATTGATGCCATTGTTTGATAACGTTTCTGTATGCACATAACTATGAACTTATGATAAGGCTATTCGTATGATAATTAGCATTAAATATATCAACAGATGCAGTATGAACGTTTACTTTTTTATTGTCACAAAGTATTTTATCATCCACAGTACCACGAACATTCAAACATCACCATGGAAGTCACCCTATACACTGCCGGCAGTCCTTCCAAGAGATGCGGTTGACGTTTTGGATAAAGGCGGCTTCCCAAACCAGGGTTCAAGAAGCCACCTTCTAGACTCCATTTACAACGATGTGTCTGTGAAGTACACACTGTAAGATATCAGCATTATATTGGTTATATGTGTTTAACTTACGGTACAATTTACAGTAATAACTTCCTATTCAGTGATAGATCTCAAATTATAACGTATCTGTAAAGCCAGTAACATCATTGATAAGAAATTATTATTTTTTCTTATTTCTAGATATCCTCTGTCATATCAATATAATGAAATCATCGACGCCATATTTCAAAGATGGCCTCTTTTGATGACCGAAGACGGTTTAGAAGATAGCAGCACTAGAGTAGGTTTATGATTTGGTTTGTTTAAAAATAGATTGGGCACTCGGTTTTCATCTCAGTAGAACCCTCTCCTTACAACTGAATCGTAATGTTTTATTTATGTTAACTGACAAAGTATATTAATGCTTCTGTACTCTACTACACACCGATAGTAAAGTTATTTTGCGGTTATATTAAGCTGTTTCCATAACCAATGCATGACTATTTTGTTTTACTCTTTTGTCGCAAAGGTGCTCTGGAGAGCGAGGATCCGTGACCAATTTATCAACAACCGACGAAGAAAGGATTCAAATGTGACGTGTGTTCAGCAACGCAAACGTAAGTCTGCGAACAACGTTGTGCTTGAAGAACCCTCTCCTTCTAAACAACCCAAGATGTCCCTGCCTGTTGGAGAAGATGACCACAGCATCCATAGACATATACAGTGGATGAAGCAGGAAGCCAGAGCACGAAAACCAGATCGCTCCAAGATGTCGCTACTCATGAAACTCACTTTCAGTACCAGAAGAGAAATGGTCACATCAGGGGGAGCAACTGTAAAAGAAGTTCTCGACGAATATCCTTGGCTTGCTAATGAGGATGAGGTAAATATGAAACTCTACATGAATCTATCGTGTGTAAAAACGTTTGCTTTTGGAATGGTGCATAAAGCCTATCTAGTATTCTACTAAGTGAAAAATGCGGACCACACAACGACGTTGTTTCGTGTTGGCAGGGTATACACTTAACATTAAAGTGTATTACACATATACAAGCTAAAGTCTATATTAAGTGCTTTATTTATCTTCTGGTGAATGAATATATTCCACGAAGCCGATAACTCTTAATACAATACTTAGTCATATTGTATAATTTGTTACAGCCACTCAAAGTTAACAAGAATAATAAAAGTTTTGGTTCTTTTATGTTATCACAAAACGTTTTATGATTTCAGATCTGTGCAGAATACTCTCGACTCACAGAGACTAACATCGCAGACAAAGTAAATTCCGGACTGGGAAAGGTGTCTGAAAGAATCTATTACCTAATCAGAAATTCATCGAAAGTTGAGGATGACATCAAAGCCTTGATGAAAGACGTGGACAAAAGCACTGATGGATATTGCACAAATGTGGCTGTTCACCCTATTGGTCCCTGAAAATAAAATCTTTAAATAATTTTTTAAAATTATCTAATTGATAATTTTATGCTTCCTGTAATTTGGACACATTTTGAAAAATACAACTTTCTGGAAACCTGATATTTTGTTATTAAATCATCGTGTAACCATGTGTTCAGTCATGCCTACAATTGGTTATGGTAATAGTGTCAGTTATATTATGCTCTATACTTTTTGTACAGATGCAGTACTGGCCACAGTCATCCTCGGTCTTCCGGGACTCTTGAGAGAGTGAGTGAGTGAGTTTAGTTTTACGCCGCCGCACTCAGCAATATCCCAGCTATATGGCGGCGGTCTGTAAATAATAGAGTCTGGACCAGACAATCCAGTGATCAACAGCAGGAGCATCGATCTGCGCAATATATTGGGAACCGATGACATGTGTCAACCAAGTCAGCGAAACTGACCACCCGATCCCGTTAGTCGCCTTTTACGACAAGCATAGTCGCCTTTTATGGCAAGCACATGGGTTTCTGAAGACCTATTCTACCCCGGATCTTCACGGGTCGACTCTTAAGAGAAGGGTCTAAGACCTTCATTGCAAAGGACTGGCAAGTGAGTTACACTGGATATTGTTATATTGTTAAAAAAGTATTTATGGTATGCATATTTATATGTAGATAAATATTGATATAAGTATTTTTTATACAATCAGGCCGCGTTTATCCGAACACTTCCATTCCACTACTGAAACGAACCATTATGTAAAGGTGGTGATAGAGTTTTAGGGCGACTGGGACCAGAAGAAGGTCTATGTAAGCCCATCATGTAAACCACTGCCCTAGAGTTACTTCCCTTTGACATACGGAGACAAGAACATAAGAACCTATACATATATCAAATGAATTTATTACAGTTTGTACGCATAACAGTTAATCAATCAATCAATCAATGCATACAATAATGTCTGGATATAGTACAGTATATGTTTATTCATTTAAATTAAGTGGCGTAAGATCAGACCTCTTGCACGGCCTAGAACAAGTATTTCATTTTAATTTACAGGTTGCAAATACCGTTCCATCCTTCATTGTCTGCGATGGAGGTGCAGAGGAGGCCTTCACCGACGTGTCCATTTTTCATGTGTATTCTGAGGAACAGAAAGTCTGCAATACCGACAATATCATAGATGCCTTGAAGGTTTACCATGCAGTGTATTATGTGTTTAATTTGCAATATCCCCAAGGTCTCAGCAAAACTCATCTTTTCTTGGACAAAATGTTGCTGAATCAAGAATAAACCTATGGGTAAAAAAACCTTGAAAATCAAGAGTTTTGAAAAATCGGTCAATTCCCTTATTTCAAAACTAAATGCAAGAAATTGAATGTTTTGACAACAGAGTCAATTGTAACATTGGGTAATTGTCAGAAAGACCACAACACTGAAACTAATTATTTTATAACATATGTTATATTTGGGATTAGACTTTCTTAGTACAGTACAGATTCTAGTACTGTTGTTTGGTTGAGTCCCTTCCCGGATTCGAACCCACACCCTCAGAGTCAGGTACCTATTCGCCAGCACATAAAGTCAGCCACCTAACTCCCTCAGCCACCACGTTCTAAATGGCATTGTGTAATCATAGCTTTCCGCTGAGAGCCTGCCAATTTACACTTATCAAAGGGGTACACAAAATCTGCAGTCAAGACTACCAGTTGTCAACTTCCATTTTTGTGGAAGTCGCGGTGGCAGAGCGGCTGACTTTGTGTGCAGGCGAATAAGTACCTGACTCTGAGGGTACCTGAATTAAAAAGGAGTCCCAGAGAGACCAGAGATTCAGAACCTGAAGAAATCTAGACTTGCTTCAGTTTGGGCTTTAGCATTGCAGAGAGGGCTAGGCAGTAGGGAAAATAATATGGTTCAGAGACTGTGAAACAGACTAGTGTTTGATCTGTAATAATGCAGTATCATAAAGCATTAGGTTTAATGAAAATGTTACAATTGACCCTGGTATACCCTACAATTCAAATATGTTTTGCTTGAATACTCAAAATTGAAACAATACCAACATCATGAAGCAGGTATGCATGCATGATGGGGGTGTGGGGGTGTTATTATTATTATTACTTTTAATTATAGGAGTTTAAATGGAATTATTTTTCCTGAATGTATGTGTATTGCTGAAAAGCTATGACATGTTGTTTGCATATCGTCTAAAAGTAAATACGAGTGAGTTTCAGATGTGACGGTGTTTTTTAAACAATTAATTCTAAAGATGATAAAGAAAAACATTCTTTGTGTAGAATTTGAGAAATGTCGTGATATCTAAAAATATGTTCAATACTCACAGTAGACAGAAGACAGTAACCACATGCAATGACATTAGTGTGTTTATTACCATGACTTTCTAATTCAGGACTCAGTAGAAAATTATTGTATCAAAACTCATAACTTGATTCATTTAACGTTTGAAGCTGAAACAAAGTTTGATGGTATTGATGATTTTTCACGCCATGGGAGGAGTACAAATTTCATGATGAAATGTTTTGTTTGTTATCGTAACTAGTGGGTGTGTCCTTCATATTGCAAATTAATATTTCTTTAGAAATAATATTTATTTCGATTTTATCTCAGAGTTTAGTACCCCGCAGCACTGTGGCGTATGATGTTTTACTTGATCTAGGTGAAATTTACGGCTGTGGCCTATGGCCGTTTTGTGTGTCCCTGAGTGACCCGTGTGTGCAGTAAGCCATGGCTGATAAGGTGTCAGGTCATTAACAGGGTATTTGATTGATTGGCAGATTACTAGCATTATATGACAGGTTGTCACGAAAATACATAAGAAATACATAGAAGAGAAACAAAGGTAAAAGTTTCATATATACTACCCATCAAAAATTTAGACTAATTTAAAGAACTCACTATAAGTTATGTATATATACCCAGCGGGCACACAACGTTGAATCAACGTTGAATTTTGGTTGTTTGGTTGATCAACCTTTCATAAACGTTGATTCAACGTTTATCATGCGACCAAAGAAAGTTAGTCGAGATTCGTTTAGTTGTCAACGTTGTTTCAACGTAAGGAACCAACAAAATTTCAACTAATTGTTTCCTTGGCAAATTTGATACATAATTCATATTGGTAATAGGTATCCAACTTAGCAACTATCATTTCGGAACATTAATTTCATAAAAGATCAAGATCGAGCTAGTGACACATATAATCTTATATATTGTTTGATTGTGCATCGATCAACGGACGGAAATATTACGTAAATCGCAATTGAAAATGAAAACATCAATGATTTTAGGTATAAAGTCATCAGTTATCCGAATTGCATTACATTTGATATTTTCCCACAAACTGTCAAAATTGTATAATTCCCGACAATTTGCTTTCAAAGACATGCCAGATCGCCTCGTTTGGCCATATCCGGACATGCGCAACAATTATCGCGCGCGCAAAGGCAGCTGATCGTTGTCAGTTTACTTTGGCGAAGTTCAACGCAATATCGTTCTATTTTCAACATCTTCACGGCATGCTGGTGTTTATTTGGTAAGTATGCCCTTCATGTATAATGACGAAACGTAGGAATGTTGTTTAAATCTAGCAGGTCAATGTAGCAAGAAACTCCGAATTAGGGCTCATGTTTTATCTCACAAGGGTACCGGTATGTCACGTACATGTTTCTCAAAATTTAGTGGAAGCCCGTGTTTTCCATGAACTTGTTTTGTTATTTTCAATATATTTGCATGCATATATTTGGCATTTTATTATATAATCGAATAAGATTTTCGTACCCATCACCTGATTTGAATTTTGCAATATACATTTTCAAATAATCAATGAAGTACATCAATATAAGGGACCATTCATAATTATATGGCTGCGGGTGGGGGTGATGATTGTAAGGGTGTGTGTGTGGGGGTGTCACCCATTTTGTTCAGGGGAGCTAAGGGGTCAGCATTTTTGTACACACGCACTATGTTTACTATGATGCTTAGAAATTATGGGAAGGAGAGGGCGTCATAGATATTGTACATGACATGCAGGGTGGGGCGTCACTTATTTCGTACATACACTTTACGGGGAGGGGGAGGGTAATTCACATTGTACATGCTTCTTCATAAAATCATCATCACCCCAAGCCATACATTATGAACGGTCCCTAAGGGCAGCTATACAAAATTGAATAGAATTTATCAACATTTTATATTGCATCACATTATTATGAACATTTGTTCGTTTGAATAAGTCTATCAGTAAATTATGCATTGAGCACGCTCTGAACCCTGTCAACATATGCATATTATTTGGGGGGAAGGGGGTGGAGAATGGCGAAAGGAAATCTTTTTCAGATCATGCAACGAAAATTCACATCAAAATGTCTTGTGCAAGTCTTTGTTAAGGATGAAATTGCATATAATTTATTTGAACTTTTATTTATTTACAAAATGTGTAACTTCACTAATGATTCTTTGATGGAACAATTAACAAAACTGCACTCACAGACCTTCATTCTTACACTTGTTTGGAAGGGATGTGATGATTCATGTCTCTTAAAGGTTAAAATGTTACATACAAAAGAAGTAATTTAGTAAGGAACATTTAATTATGAAATAAGATATAATTTTAACGGAATTTGCAGAAATCTCATCTTCGAAGACTGGGTGGCATCAATTTTGTGGATCACATAAAAGGAGCAATGCTAAGGTAACAAGTTTTTAACATTTCACTTGTTTCCAGTATATCCACCACAAAGGTTGATCATGTAAGAGAATAATTTGACAATGATTTCTCCCGGAGATGTTTAGTTTAATGAGCACTCCCTTGCTTGGCGCCATATTGTTTTTCGCCGTAAAGAGCTTGATGCGAGAAAGCACGCGAGAGGACAGAAGTCATAAATTTATAGAGATATATAGATGTTTATTGCTGGGAGACACACTCTTCAGGTATTTGGTCAGCTGTAGAATTTGAATATGATTTTTCTTTATTATTGTCAAAGTGTAGGTTTTTCATTATTTTGCATTTAAAT